AAACTCCAAGGTTAAGGTCAAATGGTCAAAGGTGTTGGTATCCAAAGGAAGGCCTTTTCACAAGGATTACATATGTGAAGTATGAAAGGCCTAGCACTAACGGTTCAAAAGTTATGGCCAAGGTTAAAGTTTTTCAAAAGTAGGTCAACCTCCAAGGTCAAGGTCAAAGGGTCAAAGTTGTTGGTATTCAAAGGAAGGTTTTGTCACAAGGATTACATATGTGAAGTATGAAAGCTGAAGTACAAATCGTTCAAAAGTTATGGCCAAGTTTTTCAAAACTGGGTCAAACTCCATTGTCAAGGTCAAAGCGTCAAAGTTGTCAGTATCCAAAGGAAGGACTTGTCACAAGGAATACACATGTGAAGTATGAAAGCCTAAGCACTAATTGTTCAAAAGTTATGGCCAAGGTTAAAGTTGGATAAAATTTTGCAAAACTGGGTCAAACTCCAAGGTCAAAAGGTCAAATATGGTGGTACCCAAAGAAAGGTCTTGTCACAAGGAATACACATGTGAAATATGAAAGCCATAGCTCCAACCAATCAAAAGTTACGGGCAATGTTAAAGTTTTTGCGGACAAACAGACAGACAGACAGACAGACGGACGGACAGGGCAAAAACTACATACCCCCGAATCTTCGATACGGGGGCGTAAAAATCTTCATTTAAATACAATTGCCAACAAAATACAATTGTTATTATTTAGAACGTCTTTAAATACAATTAATTACGTCTTTAATTACAACCTTGATGTTACCCCATACTCTCCCTTTGTGATAGATTTCTAAAGCACGGAAGAATTGTTTGGAACATATGCCCATGCAGGACTAGACAAAAATTAAAAGAAATGGCTAGTCACAGAAGAATACTAGAGCTAAGCAAAAAAAAAAGACATTAGTGAATTTAAATGATATGTATTTTAAATTAAAAATTATTACATGGTAAAATTAAAACAGAAGTACAAATCCCGATAATTCAGATATGTTAATATGATTTTTTTTTTAAAAAATTCAATCGATAAAAAATATAGTGAGTGAGGCGATGTTACTTTTGTTGACTTCTAATATCAGCATAATTTTAAGACGCTAATAATTTATTGTTTGCAGATTGTATTTTTACAACATAGAAAAGAATCAGAAATGTCCAGTTTAATGATAAATCTGTGTGATCAACAAACACTCTTAACTAACTCTCACATCTCTGAGAGAGAGAGAGAGAGAGAGAGAGGGTTTCAAATATGCTCATGATTAGGTATTGTTTTATTGAACGAGGAAAGTCATTGTTTTTAAATGTTCCCCCACCCCCCCTCCCCCACCCCCCAAATATACCCACAAAGAATTTGTTCAATGGATTTATATATGAAATTCAATTGATAGGTCGATCATTTGTCAGTTGCCTGTTAAAATAATAATTTGATATACTATGCATTGATTTTGCGGTGTCATCTTATTGACTAACATATTTATTACAAATACAAAGACTGAGACAATCTTTTATGTTTCCTTTCAGGAAGTATGGATGAACTTGAACTTCACCAACTTCAGGATATCCGATCCTCAGCCAGGAAGGATAACTCTAAAATTTATTATTTTATTTAAAAAGTCTCAAAATGAAGCTTGGAATTAAGATCTTTTCGTGCAACAATTTTCATTTTATGCATCTTAACATGATTTAAGGTTCTTTGAAGTCTTAGAAACGGTCTAAAAAGTTGACATTTCTACCCAATAAAAGAAAAAAATGAATTCATTTTTATAGAAATCAAATTTTCTTTAGTCTAACATTAGATACCACTGCTTATTAGCATGATATGAAATTAGATGTGATATGTGATGTCTAGCAATAATAGCACAAGCTTTTACACTATGTATTATATGACAATTGAAGTAAAAAGAGGAACTTAAATACTTTATAAGCATAAAAAAGATGCCATTTTCTCCAAATGCCTGAATACCTATATTTTTCTATCCTGAATTATATTTGTTAATCAATTTTCAATTAGAAAATGCATAGCTGGTGGTTTTATTCGCATTTCCTGAAAATATATTTGAGATTTGATAATTTTCCCTATATATGATTAACTATAATGATGAACTTTGAAGAAATTCCATGGGTAAATTCACGTTACTATGTGAAATCAGAGACATTTTTGTGAGCATTTTCAATTATTTAAAAGCTGATTTTCAGAGAACCTGATGATTGGACTACCTTAAGCTTATATGACGATATTTTCTAAAACATTGCTGCTAGTACAATAAAAGACGAAGCAATATAAAGAGATTTTTAAGGTTGAAAGATTTTGAGTGGTGTGACGGAGATGGATGCAAAACATTTGATTAGATGGACAAAAAAAAAAGCTTGGGAAATGAAAAGACTGGACCCCAAATCCTACCAGAAAGTCAGAATAATTATCTTTTTAAGAACTCAAAAATATCACATTTACATTACATTACTCTTTCATGTATCATATTCTTAAAAAAATCAGATTTCAGATTGTACATGAATATGTTCGATTTTAACTAAACTGCACACTCCAGCACCATGCATGATTGATTTAACAGCAGTTTTCTTTCATGAGTTGCAACAATGTTAAAAAAGAGAGGCGTTTTAAATTCTAGAACAATTTTTTTAAGATTCCTCCACATGGGTTAATTTTACACTCGTTTTATTACGTGCATCTTGATAATCAGTTGAGCTCTCCCCGTACGTGATATCTGTCCTAAAGAATTCTTTTTTTAACTCCAGCTCAGTAGAGCATCAAAAATAATATCGAACAACCCCATTGAAAAGTTATCTAAATGTAGATATATTTGACATTTTTCAAATTCTTTGATATAAAATGATAAGCAGAAAAATGTAGTGATTAAGTTTCTTAAGTTTCTTCCTTTTTATGGATTTTGTTTCAAAAAGAAATTTGTTGATGTTGTATGAAGCACATTGACAGAGGAACAACAATAGTAATCAGGAGCCCGTTTTACTAAAGAACTTTCGACTGAGACTAATAATTTTAGCGTCATCTAACAATCTGCCGAGCAAAACATATTTTATTACATTTTTTCTGAACAAATATATTTCCAGCGTCATAAAAATAGATTTTATACCGTTTTCAAAATTATTCAAAGAAGCAAAATGTTATGCAAAAAGATATTTTGGTCTTTGTCGTAATTTCTTCTGTAAAACGAGTCCCAGTTTATTTTTGCAAATCGAATTTATCTTACGACATCTTGAATTTAATTTTCCAGTTTAAAAAAAAAATGCAAAAGTAGAGACTGTTATAAAGTGAGTATTTTGTCATCCAGGTTTGCTCAGCATATATTACAAAGATTGGGGCCATGTTTCACATCTTGTTCAAATGTCATAAATATTACTCAGATTTCATGTTTCATGTTTTGGCTGTAATGGGGAAGAGGGGTATCGATATTTTTTTTTTATTAAAAGAGGTTATGATTATATATATATATATATATATATATATATATATATATATATATATATATATATATATATATATATATATATATATATATATAAGCTGTTGTCAAGTAAAAGAAATATTGGGGGTTATTAGTACATGTAGGTTCCATCACTTATATTAACAGGAGCGTTGAAGATATAGGTGCATGATGTTTATTTTTTAAGAATCAAGGTAAATCACATTACATCACGAAAAAAGGTAACATTAGTTTTTATGTTTAGATTTCCAAGGTTGGCACAGGAGTGACTCCGAGCCCCTATAATCTTAGCGGACCATGTAACTACCATGCTAATTAACTTGTGAGTCCGAATAAGACAAGAAAAAAATGTCTTTTACACTCATAAAATGCAGAGTCAAGACTGGGATGCTAATATTAAATTAAGCACATTTGAGGAATTATGATGGAAGTCATTAAATTATTTAGATGTAAAATGTTCTATAGAATATATTCTATTCTTTTGCAGAATCTTTGCTCCGTACCCATGTTTTAGATATTGATACAATATGGTTATGAAATTTAGAAAAAAAAAACTGGAAGCAGCAATTTTTACACTAAAAAATTTGAAAGTTTGGCATAGTTTCGCACTCGATATGGGATTTTTCGGGAAAAAAAGCCAATATCTGTAATCTGACTGTGAAAAAAATCTGTTGTCTACTTCCCCTGTCTATGTAGTATAATATTCTAATATCACTGCATCTAGTGTTTACGTTTCCTAAACTGATTTGGTACACGAGAGGATGTTATGAGAACGATCAATTCTTAAACTGAGGTAGGCTTCTGACAAAGAAATGATGCTATAATGCTATCAAGATTCAATAAATTTTAAAGTCAGCATTTTGCAAATTCTATGGTAGATATAATGATCTTGTTAACAATTAATATTGCTGGGTCGTATTTTGAGTGAAATGTTTCATACAATATTTTAGGCATGGCCGTAGGAACCCGGGGGCGGGGGGGGGGGCCCCAATAATTTTGCCGATATATAGAGGACTATAGAAAACATATATACTATATGCTTGTGCCCCCTCAATAAAAACGTCTGATGACCTTTTTTTTTTTTTTTTTTTTTTTTTTTTTGCTTGTCAAGAAATTTTTGGTAGTTGATAGTGCCCCCTCAACTGAAAATGTATAGCTGTGCCCCCCTCCCCCCCCCCCCCCCCCACCCAACTGAAATTGCTTCCTACGGGCCTGTTAGGCCATTGTTTTAACACTAAATTGCTTACGGATTACCGTTATATTGATCGATATAGTGTCTAACGGCGGATGTGACAGGTCGTCATGGGATGCTTACTTCTCCAAAGCACCTGATTCCGGCTCTGGTGTTTCCAGAGTCCGTGTTTTTGCCCTGTTAACGGTTCGCATTGTTTACAAGACTTCTAAGATCGATCACCATTTGATATCTTCATATTTTTCATTGTTTCTCATTTAGGTACCAAATATCTCTCAATTTTATATTCACAACATGCATGTACACTGTACTAAACATAACAATGCTATTTACGTAAGGAAGTCCTTGAAACCTATTAAGTTGTTTTAATATTCAAATGCAAAACAGACTGGGCATATTTCAGGATCATTCAGGACCTAGAAAAGGGAAACAAATAAATGCGTAAAACAACTGTTTATGAAAGTTCCTGTTAATAAATTTGATGAGAGTAAAAGGAACACAAAATTTGAAATTTGTCATTAAATTGAATGCTTAAATTATAATTACATAATTATTTTGAAATCAATGTTTCAATATGTTAACCTGAAGATTCACAAACGAATGCAATAGACCAATTGCAGCCACCGTCATCCCACAGTCCGAGCTGTTTTGAGAAGTTATTATACGCACAATCCTGGTCATGTTTCCAGTCATCAGGCTGACCTTTGCTCCAGCTTTTAAACTGAACAAGCTTTCCTGTGGAAAACATCATCCATTTCCCCTCGACTCCAGTATCAGTGAGATCGATCCAGTAAGGAACTAAATTAAGAATTAGACTCAGCTCTCCTTTTTTATCTACTATTTTGTATGTGTTAAGCTCAGACGACACGTTCCTCAAATTATATGTTTTGTATCTCTTATGATTATATCAAAATTTATTCATAATTGTCATTTTCTTGTGATTTCTACATTGTTTTCCACATGTTTTTAAATATAAGTACACCATAGACATAGGCAATTCAGAAGAGTACCCACAAGGATTATATAAGAAAATCACCTTCTGGTGTCTTGTCTAAATGCTTGGTAATGTACCTTAATATTTTGTGAGGAAACTTGTTTAAGTACCTATACTTCAAGGACAAATTCTTTGGAAAAAATATATATTTTTGAGAAACGTGTCGTCTGACCTTAATGTGTTTGTGTAGAATTTAATGCGTATATCATTGGAAAGGATAAATTTAATAGATCCTGTTCTTCGGAACGAATGAGAGCAGCATGTTTTCTTTTGGGTATATAATATCATTGGTCTTGATTCATAAAAAAAATCATGAAATTTACCATTTGGAAAATTCTTTGATAGCCACATCCTTTCACTTGAATCATCAATTTGCAAAAGTGTCGCTCCTTGATTTCTACAATGCATCTGTACAAGGATTTAATTAATTTTTAATCTTTACATACAAATATATATGAAAAATATATATATATGAAATCAGAGGTAGCTTTCGAAACATTACCTGTGCTTCAAACCAATTTTTTTTCAAATTGAATGGGAAATAGCAATGACCATTGTACCTTTTCCATCCGAACTTACAAGCTACAAAAATACAAGGACAATTATACTAAAAATAGATGTAATCTAATGTATATTGAAAATAATTGACTGTTCTTTTTGTGTTGTTCATTAAAATAATTAGTCCTCTGAGCTTCTTTTTTGTGATCCAATCAAAAGTCGAATCCTTTCATTAACATTTTTGATATGTACATGTCGTTATCTGTCCGTGAACCCATTTTTTTTTTTTTACACAAATTATTGTTATTGCTTACGTTTGAAAAGATGATTGATTCTGGTTTGGATTTGGTTAAGCTTTGTCATGTTCCGCTTCCACTCGACTCGCATCCATTAATTTTGCAGCCTCTTCCGTTGCACTGAGTTTCAAACACTGCAGCCTTTAAAATTAATTGTCATAAATAGATTCCTGCTTATCATTACACTTATAATTAAAATTTTATGGGTGAATTAAAAATAAATGACCACCAAACTGAATTTTTTGGGCAAAATTCAACTACTTATAACATATTTTTCACTTATATCATCATATTGCAAATGCATTCTAGTTTAAAATCCTGAAGTGGCAATAGAATAGACAATTGGATTAAAAAGTTTAAGAATTTTTATTAGTAAAATTTCTTTTGAAAAAAGAAAATATCATTACACCTTAAAAGACTTTCTAAAATACATAATCACAAGAAATTATAGTTTTTTATGCTTCAAAATGGTAAAAGGGGTATAAATGATTAAATCTAGACCTTGAATGAGTATCTTCTCTTGTACATGTGACAAAAAATTCGCTTTTTGATTGTTATTTTACATTATTTTTTCAATTCTGGTTTGAAAAGTTTTATTATGAAAAAAAATATGAAGCAATAAAATTTCCCAAAATTCACTTTATTGTCCGTTCAAGTCAATTCTTTAAATCTAAGCCAAAAAAGAATTGTTATATACGACTTTGCTTACGAAAAATACTAGATTTTGAAGTGACCCTATGTTACATTATTGTGTTGCACTCCTGACATCTGATATGTATTTTGTTTAACATTGTTTTAAAAATTATAACACACAATAACCCATTCTTACTTTGTAAATCAATTTGTCGTGTTGATATTTTTCATCGTTTACAGCAGGTTTTTCATATTTTGAAGACCTTAAAACATGATTATTTGCAAAGTGTAATATATATAAATTGTATTTAAAATATATGTGAAATGATGAAAACTATTCCCTGAATTGACTGTAAAATTTCTGTTGATAGACATAGTGTTTTGAACATCAAATAGTATCAAGAATTTTTTTCAACTTAATTTTTACTAAAGATAGTTAAAAAGCATCGGTAATTATGAAACAGTTTAGTTGCACTCCTGACTGCAGTAAAGTTTAAAATTAAAACCATAGAACATAAAAATTCATAAAGTGTTGGCAACATCAAGTGGTAATGAAATTGTGCAATACTTATAGTCCAATACTTCATAATTAAAACAGATGGAAGTATTTAAAATTCGCATTTTATCTGGAATTATACCCTATTTTGTGCCAAAAAACTAGCTTAAATGTATATTTAGAAGATAAAATATATTTTAAAGCATATTTTCCTTTAGAAGACAAACACAGTAACCCACCAGAAAAATTCTACTCATCATTTTTTTCTTTATCTTTATTCTTACTGGATGATTTATAATTCCAACATATTTGTTGCACTCCTGACCAAAAGCATTGGGGCCTTTAAAGTAGAATTGTTGAAGTGAAAATTACATAAGAACTTGTTCTGTTGTTTCAGTGAAGTTGAGGAGGAATTACTTGAATTTTATGACAATGTTTTAGTGTGTTTATTTTTAACGTTCATTAAAAAAATCACAAAAAGATAAAATCACATCTGAATTGATAAAATTGAAAAAGGAAGGATTTAAATAATAAAACTGTCAGTAATTTAGCATTAAATTATACAAAAAGATCATTATTAATTAATGGATACTTCTAAGCATGAATAGATGTCTTTTCGTCACACAACTTGAATCTTAAAAAAAATGCGTTGCACTCCTGACCATAGAAATATGGATCTGAAGCACAGACAGATCCTGTAATTGATAAATCTATTTGGCAAAAATGTTCTTTGTGTCTTTATTTTCCAAAATAAAAATCAGAAAATCATATAATGATAATAGTTTTTTCATGCTTGGGAGCAAAACATCAAATGTTGCACTCCTGACATTTTTGGGCATGTACATATACTTGACTCTCATTAATGCTGCTTGTGATTTATATAACATTTTTAAGTTTTAAAATGTATAGCAGTTATTATTTTACACTTCCAAAATTCTTTTTTGTCTTAATTTTCTATCAGAATTTTACAATTGATGTTTTTTTGGCAACACTACATTTTTTCTGTTGCACTCCTGACATGGTGTAACATTTTTTTAAACATCAGCCATGACCACAACCTGATTAAACAAAAGTTATGACAGTCCACATTTAAAGCTCAATACTTTGAATATTATCAGGAAAGTCTTTATTTTCAACATGAAGCATTATTTTTTTTATTTCACAGATCTCCAAAAAATATTGAAATTTCAAAATGTCACAAAAAGGTGTTGCACTCCTGACAATTTTAGCATCATTTTTGGGCATAACTTTTTTGTTAATTGAGATATCAACGAGATATTTGGCAGGTATTTAGACACTATCTAAAGACATATGCTGAGACATAGAAATCTATTTTCATTGCCTGTATTTTTAGTGTGGGTTGATAAATATGCGTTTGGTCATTTTTTTTTAAATTCACCCTTATACTTAATAATACCTTAACCAGCTTTGTTTTCTTTTGAATTGATGTAAACAGCTGGAAATGTAGATCTGAAATGTTTTTCAATAGGATGTCCTCTCTGATTTCGAGTGCGTGAATAGATCTCTTAGAATTCAAATCAAATGAAATGAAAAACAAAACAAAGAGATTACAACTTTTGCATAGTTTTTGCGTATTTGAAACACAATGGTGTCCAACTGGTTAAAATGAATTCCTGGTGCCTAGGACATGTAGTTATAGATATATTTATATAACTATAGATATTACACCTGTTACAGATGAACTATATTGCGTTTTTGCATGGTAGAACATAATTCTAAAGCAACATATGCAAAACATGAATTCAAGTATGAAAATATGGGTAACAAAGATATATTGAAGTGATGAAGTCCGTAATTTTGCTCTCTCTTTTCCCAGATGAATTAGAATTTCAAATTCAAATGTATTTTGTTTGAAGCGTATCAAAAGAAATTGTTCATCAGTTGCCACACGTAAATAATATAGTATTTATACGAGCATATGCATGTAGTTGAAAAAGATTTTGAGAATATTTATTTTTTCGAGAGAAAAAAATTGAATGACTACAAGGATCATGTACACTCTTCCGAGGAAAAAAGTAAGAGAAAAAACTATTAAATACCCCGCCTTTATGTCACAATTAAGAATCCAACACTCCATTCTATTTAAACGTTGAGACCTTGATTTGAATAAATCAATTTTTTGTCAATCTTTCATTCAATTAAACTCGACTGTCATTTCCTTTCTTTATCGCTCAATGCAGTCTTTCTTAAATAAAAAAAGGAAAAAAAGTAAAATATTAACAAAACAAAAGGAAAAATATTATCAAATGGTGATATCTATAGCTTTCTATTACAACTTCTTTGTTGTTTCTTGAGATTTGTACGAGAATTAACATCAACTTTTAAAAAATTATAAGTGATGAACCAAACTCTTTACTTTTTTTTTTTTACAGGTGCTATATGTGAATTTAAAAAAATCCAAAAAGAATAAACTCACCATAACTTTACCAAAGTCCTGTATATGAATATTAATAAATATGTGATATGTATAAATATGTATCACCTATCTCTTTCGTAGCTTCTAAACAGTTAAATGAAATCCAACATTTTAATTTTTTTTAAATAGTTTGGCTTTACAAGTTATTATTCTTTGTTTTCGTTTTCTTGCTTTTAGTATTAATTAAGTCCAATGTAGCTAACCTTTGCAGTTTCACGGAGTTTATTTTTTGTATCAAAACTACAGAGATAAGCAATTTAATGTGCTTTTGTTCCCTTTCAGATGACAGGAAACACACAAGAGCAAGACAATTCTGAATAAGTTTTGTGTTTTCCCCCACAGATAATGTTGAAATATTTCCAATGAATAAATCTAATTCTGCTTTTGAACTTTTTTTCTTTTGGGGGTGGATGGGTTGATGGATAGATGGGTGGAAAACTACTATCTTTTAACAACCAGTTATGAATTTCCAGAAATCATATATTTGCAAGATGTTACTAATTGGAATCAATTGTGCTCCTTTATTAGCCGATCTGTTTTTATATTCCTATAAAGCAGAATTTTTCAAAACCTTCTTCTTGGGAAGAAGAATACTGTTCTTGTGACCTTCAACTCAACATTTAGATATATCGACGACGTTTTATCAATTAACAACAGTAACTTCTATTCATATGTCAACTCGATATATCCCAGTGAACTCGAAATAAAAGACACTACAAGTATTGCCACATCTACATGTATTTCCTATATGTTTTACTGACTAAAGACGGTAATGACCAACTAATACCTACACTGTATGACAAACGGGATGACTTTAGCTTTTCCATCGTCAACTTCCCTATTTTCGTAGCAATATTTCAGTATCACATGCATATGGTGAATATGTCTCTCAATAGCTGCAGAACTGTAGCATAATGGTTTTATATATTAATCTTTGACCATAACGCTACAGATCCCCCCTATGCAAATATTGTGCAATTTACGGCGCAAAATTTTCTGCGCACGGTTGGAGAAAATTTCTCCACTTTCCAGCATTGGTCAACCAACTACTTTTCACGCCCTAATTCTAGACACAATCTTTAACCAACCTGTATATTTTATCCACCTCCTAACCCTTTATAGTCGTCTCTACAGATCAATAAACTCGTTTGTTTTGAATTGACAAAAAAATCAAAACAAGCTAGTATATAGATGGAAAAATATACATATTGGTTAAGGAATATGTCTGGAATTAGGAAGTAAAAGGTAGTTGATTGACCAGTGCTGGAAAGTGGAGAAATTCTCCCCAACCGTGCGCAGAAAATCTTACGCTGTAAATTTCACAATGCATGTATTTGCATTAGGGGGATCTGTAGCGTTGTGGTCAAAGACTAATATATAAAACCATTATGCTACAGTTCTGCAGCTAGTCTCTCAACTGACTGGATACGCAAAATCATGTTATGAATACGAACAATTTTTAGCTCACCTCAACGAAGTTGGGGGAGGTTATGTAATACCTACGGCGTCTGCGTCCCAGGTTGAAGTTTTAGGATTTCTTTTCAACTACTTTTATGCCAAATATTGATCAGAGATGCATGGAAGATACTTCTATTATGTTTCATTGTACCATTAAAGGTTTCAGATGCTGCAATTTCAGCTAGAGAATGACCATGTTAATGTTTTTGCAGCAGGTTAAAGTGTTGGAGCAGGTCTCATTTCCAAGTAACTTTAAGCCCTATATAGACCAAACTTACATGGATGATACATCTAAGGATGTACACTATTGGACTTCGTACGGATGCTGGATCTGACCTGCATTTTCCGGATGAGTGACCAGACTAAAGGTTTTGGAGCAGTTACTATTTGTTCTACCTGGACTAAACTTAGATTATACATCTAAGGATGCACACTGCTGGACTAACTTCGGATGCTGAATTTGACCTACATTTTCCAGATGAGCGAACAGGTGTTGAGGTTAGCTCTGTAATCTCTGATTACCTACGTTTAAACGAGGCAAGCTGCTAACAAAAAAGTTGATATTTCAAGGATTTCAACAACCTCGTTTAATGTTTGCAAATACAGCCTATCGTTGGGTCGTATTTTGTCTGACAAGATTCATACCATTTGTATTGTCATTGCTTTTATACTAAATTTTACTGCGGAGTACTCCGTCTACTTGATCAATACATAGGGCTCACGGCTATTGAGACCGGTCGATAGGGGATGCTTACTCCTACTCTTCCTAGGCAACTGATCCCACCTCTGGTGTTTCCAGGGCTCATTGTTTTTGCCTTGTTCACGATTCTATTTGTTTACTGGATTTATGAGATCGATCACAGTTCGTTATCTTCACCTTTTACATGTTCACAAAATTTCTTATACGTACTAGTTTAGATCTGTTTATGTATTCTCTTTTCTTAGCAAAAATCTTAGTCATTCAGAGAATATTCTATTATAAGAAAGCGTTAAAAATAAAAGTTTTACAGCTTCTTTACCAACAGAATGATTCAGATAAACATCCAAAATAATACGGATTTTTGTGAACAATTACACAAAAAAGATGGTTAAAAGACGGCCTTTGGCTCCATGGATAATGCAATATTCTTCGATTTTGAGAAGCACTGCTGAAGCTGAAGGCTCAAGGGAGCTTCTCTACTCAAAATTTGCCCGTTGACTGTCGTCGTTGTCGTCGTTAACTGTTCACATATTCATCTTCTCCTCCAGATCCACTTTAAACCAATTTTAACCAAACTTGCAACAAAGCATCCTTGGGTAAAGGTGATTCAAGTTTGTTCAAATGAAGAGCCATGCCCTCTTCCAAGGGGAGATAATTTAGAATTAGTGAAAATCAAATGTCATCTCTCTCAAAAACCACTAGGCCAAAAAAAGTTTAAATTTATGTAAAAACCATTTCATAGTGTAAATTCAAAATGTGTTCAAATCATGCCCCCCCCCGGGGGGGCTAGGGCGGGGACCCAATAGGCCCCGCTCTACCTCCAGGGGTTATGATTTGAACAAACTTGAATCTACACTATGTCAAGAGGCTTTCACATAAGTTTCATCTTTTCGGTTCAGTGGTTCTTGGGATTTTTAAATGAACCCACTAAAGTTTTAATTTATCTTAATTACCTCCCCTTGGCAGAGGGTGTGTCCCTACATTTGAACAAACCTGAATTCTCTTTATCCAAGGATAAAATCAAATCAAAAGCTCATACTTCAAACTTTTTTTTATCTTTTTTATATGCATTCTATAACTTTTCGCATATTTCTTGGATACTTTGTCGTGTTCTTTAGCCCCCATAAAAATAAGTAATTCTTGCTTTAAACATTCAAACATTTTATAAACATTCATTTTTATACATATTTTATACATATCTTTAAACTTCTAAAATCATTTCTTGAAATACATTCCTCTGTTTGACAAATATAATGCTTTTTCGAATGGCATTAACGAAATCAATATTGATTTAGACGGATTTTCATGAAACTTGCGTGTTCACAAAGATTCATTAAATTAAGGGCGTGATGAAGTTTTTGCATACCGTATTTGAGGGGGGAGGGGATTAGGCCCTTCACATAATATTCAAGTACCTGCTCGACTTTTTATGAAACAGGCCATGTTGTTTTGAAACACGAGAGAAAGAGAGAGAGAATATCAAAACAATCGAGGAGAGGGAACAATCACATCTGTGTTCTAGACAACGATTTCCGGCATCAAGGAAGGAATAAAAAGACACGTTTATTACAACTACAGAGTCGTTGATGCAATCAAAAAGGTGTTAATTTAATTAAAGTGATACATGAAAAAAGCAGAAAATGATGTGTTCGAAAACATCTACTGTAGTAAGATCCTTAAAAATCAGCCTTTTTATATGCTGTCTAAAATTCTATAAATCTGTTGAACATTTACTCAACATATTCAGTGAAAATTATACTGTGTTCGCTCATACCAGACCTACCTACCTTAGTTGGAAGTTATCAGTAGTTTTCTACCAATTTTGTACTTAAGATTAAAGATTGTCTACTTTCGATGCAAAAAATTTATGCAAGTTCACCTAAAACATAAAAGATGTTTATCATTGTACTTGCATACGACACACCTTCAAATGATCTTCGACATAGACACGGTATTTTTGTTT